GTGGATTGGAACTCCTGTCTGCTCACTGAGGTTGCTGCATTGAAGACAGTTTGGGCTACTCTGTGTTGCAGCTTGTTTTGTAGTCCATGGGGCTGAATCCTGCCTTTCTTGGAGAGGATGGACTGAACTGTTAAACCAGAGTATCAGTGATTGGGTGTTGCCCCGCACCCCACCAGCAGCTGCTGCGGTCCGTAGATCCACAGCAGCCAGTTTCTGTTTCTGTTTTGTGTCTGTCTTTCATGTCATTAAACATTTTGAAACTTGTCACTGTCTGACTCACCTTAAAGACTGGGTCCATCTCTCATATTTCATGACACTTTCATCCCGGCACAGTAGTACTCTCAATTTATTACTTTATGTTCTATTAAGATAATAGAGAGGATGCCATTGTTTTCATATAGCTTGAATTAACATTAGCCATTAGCTTGGAGATGTAATGCTACAACCTATTATTTGGATTTTGAACATTGTTGGAGCAAAGATCTTTACTTTACTTTACACTCAATCTAAGCTACACATGCACAGGGACATGCCATACAGCCCTGCTGTGCATCTATAAAGGCTTTGCAACTCCCACCTCCTCTCTGTTTTTGGCCGCTTAAAGCTGGGCACAAAGTGTGCGATATTATTGCATGCAGCTACAGCTCAAACTGTATGACAAAACTGTATGTTCTCACACTGGTTGGCCCGATGTTTGATTTTTTCCCGACTTTACAATTCCTGAGCGGGAGGTGGTCATGAGAGGCTTTTGCCCCTCGTTACCCCCTGTAAACTACACAACCCATGACGCGCAATGAGGCTAAAAGTCGCCGAATAGAAAAAGTCTTGCACGACTGGAGAATCGGCCTGTAAAGGGCGAAAAATCATACAGTGTATGCCCGGCTTAAGTTCTAAAGGCAGCCAAATTGGCGAGGGTCTCCTCAATGGTTGGCACTTCAGGCCAGGGAACTTCAGACTGTTCAAATCTAAATGGACATTGTGAAATGAGGTGAGGTCAGCATTGTTTCCCTGCAAAATATTAGTAAAAGATCTTCATAATTAAATAATAAAGCATAACATCTGCAGTATAGCTATTACTGACTGTCTTGAGCAAAAGAAGAAGGGATTAAAAAAAAGGGGAAGTGAATTTTTAAAGTAACCAGCAATGGAAAATTCTGTGTGCCTGCAAGAGCTGATGTGAAAAGTAATGTCATCCCCTAAAGCTGTAATAAACCTCCAAGGCAGTATGTTATTCTATCTATTGAAATGAAGAAGGGCAAAAACATTCATCAATAGTATAACATTAATTACCACCTTACCTCTTTTTTTGTTGTATGAATAAATAAGCCATCCAAATGTTACTTAGTGAAGAAGTTAAAAGGGACTAAGTCATTCCAGGTTAAAATTTTGTGAGATAGTAAAAATGTAATCAAATTAGAATTATCTGTGATATGTAGGTAACATGAATATGGATGTAGTGTTTGAGAATTTGAATGTAGAGCATTTGCGTCTGTGAAGACAAAGGTGTGCATGAGAGAGTACAAGTAATCCAGCAGTTAATAAATATTAATCTTGAGTGGATTGACTAGCTGTCTATAAACACAAAGCGAGTGTTTATAAAGTGTTTATAGATGGTAAATGTACATTAGTATGGAAGCAAATTGTTACCATATTTAAAATGAAAAAGCATTGCCAGAAATGCTTTTTCATTTTAAGAACGTGGCTGCATTGTTTGACTCATAAATGAAATTAGTAATCAATTATCCTATTTGCATTTGAATTTTCTTCTTCAACACTGCTCATCCTTTTACTTAATTAAAATAAAAAATAAAAAAGACATTAGAGATTCATTTTTCAAAATGTTCCCCAGCAAATACATACCAAAATTCAATTTGAAATGTGAAATTTAAAAATGAGAAAGCATTTCTGGAAATGCTTTTTCATTTTAAGTATGTGGCTGCATTGTTTGGCTCATAAATTAGATTAGTAATCAATAATCCTGTTTGCATTTTCATTTTCTTCTTCAACACCGCTCATCCTTTTACTCAATTAAAATTAAAAAGACATTTGATAATTATTTTTCAAAATGTACCCTAGCAAATTCATACCAAACTTCAATTTGAAATGTAAAATTTGAAAATGAAAAAGCATTTCCAGAAACGCTGCATTATTTGACTCATAAATGAAATTAGAAATCAATCATCCTATTTGCATTTGAATTTTCTTCTTCAACACTGCACATTTATGCCATAATCAAGGAGAAAACACAGCGGACATTGCTTTTTCATTTCCATGGTCTGCCTGCAAAGTACTGTCCACAACTCGAAAACGAAAAAGCATTCTGAGCAGCAGGGACAGCAGAGTGACATCAGCAGCCGCTCTTCCTCAGGTCCTTGCTGACCAGGCTACCCATCTTGTTTGGTAGGGGGCGCTGATTATAGCAGGTGACCTGCTATAATCTGTTCCCCCCTTGTAACTTTAAGAAACAAAGGTCTATCACCTCCAAAGTTTCAAGAGTGAGTTTTCATCATAAAAGATGTGTATAAGTCAAAAATGAAAAAGCTGGGACCTTTTTTTGTCTGATTTAGACAGGGGGGACATATTATAGGAGGTTTGATTTTTATTTTATATAAATAAATTGCCTGATGTTAGAACACAGACTGTTTATTAAGGATAGTACAATAAAGAGAAATTGTAAGTTAATAATAAAACACAAATATAGATTTAAGTAAAAATTTCACACAGGAAAAAGTTATTTTCCTTCAGGATTTAGTCTTCAATCATTACACTCCATTTTCTATTTCATTTTTATTACAAGCATATGGTTTACAACAGTTTTCTATGGGATAAGAACATTTGGACACTGTGAAACAACGAGAGATTTTTTAAGGAACGTGTGGAAAAGAAGGAGCTGTTTGCTTTCAGAGGAATGAGTAGACACTGCTGTCAGCGACCTGCTTTCAAGCAAACGTTTGTCTTTTATTATTATTTTTAAATCAGTATCACTGGCGATATTCTGCTATAACATTTGAAGGGAAGAATAATGCTGCATTCACACCGGACGCAGCAGGAGCAGCAAAATCGCGTCTGCTGCTTCCTTTTTGCTGCTTGTACCAGTTTAGTTCTTGAGCAACAGCACGTATGTGGCAAGGCGCGCGCGTCTTATGCATCACACTGGTCTGTGAACGCTGTGCTGTGTAGATAAGCATTTGATTTTACCCTTAAGAGAAAGCTTTGCAATCTCAAAACTCACGTCGGCTACCACGGTTTATTGTTGTGTGTAAATAACAAGAGACCACAAGTAAGTCAGCCGTACTTCGGTCAAAATCTTTGGAATTAAAAAATCCGTATTTTTGTAAATGAATCTGCCAAATAACCACATTTATTTCCCACGAGAGGTATATTTAAACGTTTTTATATCATTAATATAAGAAGCCAAGCTCCATTGGTCGTATTTTAATCAGTTTTCCTCTTCGATATGCAGTTGAACAAAGCGATGCATGCTCCCACGACTGGGGATGCCTATCTCGGCAGGCATGCATTTTTGGGCATAACACCTGTTAGCAAGGACCTGAGGAAGAGCGGCTGCTGACGTCACTCTGCTGTCCCTGCTGCTCAGAATGCTTTTTCTTTTTCGAGTTGTGGACAGTACTTTGCTTGCAGACCATGAAAACGAAAAAGCAATATCTGCTGTGTTTTCTCTTAAATTATTGCATAAAAGTGCAGTGTTAAAGAAGAAAATGCAAATAGGATGATTGATTTCTAATTTAATTTATGAGTCAAACAATGCAGCCACATTCTTAAAATGAAAAAGCATTTCTGGAAATGCTTTTTCATTTTCAAATTTTACATTTCAAATAGAATTTTGGTATGTATTTGCTGGGGAACATTTTAAAAAATAAATCTAAAATGTCTTTTTCTTTTTAATTTTAATTAAGTAAAACGATGAGCAGGATCAAACAGGATTATTGATTACTAATTTCATTAATGAGCAAAATAATGCAGCCACATTCTTAAAATGAAAAAGCATTTCTGAAAATGCTTTTTCATTTTAAATATGGTAACGATTTGCTTCCATACATTAGCCTTGTTTCCATCCAGCTGAAACTTTTAATTGAAAATGCAAATATATCCTTGGCTGAAAAATTGTTTGTATATTGCAAGCAAACGTGTCAGGAAGTTGTAAGTGAGGCAAGAAAGATTCATATCCCTTTTAAGGCTGGGGAAAAAAAATCCAGGCTTTTGTTGGCCAAGAAAAAGGATCTAACGCCCCTAAATGCACAGGAAGTAGCTAAAAGGAGCTGTGTCGTTCTCAAATGGACTTACAGTATTTTTACATTTGCAAGGAATCAGCTTGGGACTTGGAAGAAGAAAGAAGAAACAGTGATACTTTTTTTGCGATTTCATCAGAACCAAGCCCAGTGAGCCTTCCTTCTTGTTTTTTTCACTAAATTTATGGTCAACATCCTGAGGATTCTTTTTTGTGTTTCTAACCTAAGCAGTGGATCCAAAGTCCAACTACCTATTATCTAAGTTTCCTCAGGATTTGCTTTTCAAACTTTGAAGGAATTACTGAATGTTTTTTCCTATAGTAGATTTATTGTCCTAATTTTACTCTTCAAATTTCAAACGAATAAATATCAGATTTGTGGAGTAATTTTCCACTTTTGTATCCAAATTTCGTTGTGATGGATATACCCATTTCCATGTGGATTATTGTCTGATTTCCATGAATTAAAGAAACACACAAACATACATGGTCAGAGTGCAGAAGAAAGAGCTGAAATGTGGATGAAGAGAGTGCCTCAGTTTATAGACTGGTTTGGATTAGCCTCTTCACTCTGGACTCAATTACATAATATTTCCATCAATTCAGATATGCAACTTAGGATGGTTAATTAAAAATATTAGATTATTACTATTACTTCCCGTTAGTAATAACAGTTGGGAAGTAATAGTTCCGTTTAACTATCCATGGTTTAAGCCAGAGCACTATGACAACACTATTAGGTATTACTTACAATTATATAGAGAGATGAAAGCAAATAGCTCATTCCTGTGGAAGTTTGCTGGACTGAAGGCTCAACGTCATTGATGAAGAAGTCACATTCTCGATCTTCATCACAGAACGAGGACAGTGAGAAGAATATTGTTGACTCCTCAGTTATTCCACAATTCTCCAGTGTGTCACAAGGGCTACCATCACCTCTAACATTATTATGACAAGGGGGGAAAAAAAGTAATTAAAATTATTTTAGAATTATACTGCAGCAATTCAACGCGTCAAATCAAAACACTATACAAAGACAATCAATCAAATCATACAAATACACATTTGAAGTAGAAATTTGCAGACAGATACTGTTAACAGACAGACAGACAGACAGATATATTTGTGTGTGTATTAGATCTGTGTATTAGAAGGTCTGTTTATAAATGGTAAATGTACATTAGACTTGTTTCCATCCACCTGAAATTGGAAATGCATAGTTGTCGAATTCCTATTTGGTTCGAAGCTGGTTGGTTCTGCTGGAGGTTTGTTCCTGTTAAAATGGAGTTTTCCTCTTTAATATTGCTACATACATACTGTCTGGAATTGCTGATGAGTCAACGACACAATGCAAGCAAATGTCTACTGTTGTAACATTCTCATCTAGGAGAAACAAAAACTGACTCGATGCAATCAGCTAGTTTTCCTTAGATGAAAAAATATTTTTAGCCAATATATCTGTATGACTTAATTGAGTTGTCTCTGTAAAGTGCCTTATGATGGCATATATTGTGATTTGGAGCTTTTTAAAAAACTGAAATAAATATTTGCATAATCCTAATGAGGTGCCTGTTAGACACAAACAAAACTCCATGCCTACCTGCTTTGGCAACATTCTTTTAGTACTACTTTTTTAATAAATTACAGTGTAACGATCTTGGTTCTATTGGTTTTTCTCCAAGTTTTCATTTTCAGGTTTATTTATGTTTTTCTTTGTTTTCTAGCTTTATTGGTGTGTTCTGGATTTATTGAAGTTTCGCAGTTTTTTCTTTGCTTGTCTTCTGTTGCCTCGTTGTGTTTTCTTTTCCCTTGGCTTCCTCATCCGCTGTACTCACACCTGCTCCTTATCAGCTCGTTAGTCCTGCCTTCGTTCAGTCAGCCATAAATACACTCCCGCTGCAGTCCCTCAGTGCTGGTTCCTCATCTTACTTCGTCTTACCCTAGCTCCTCATGATTGTTTTCCCCTGATGTCCCCATGGTTTTGGTTTGGGTTTAATTTTTATGTTAGATTTTTGGATTCCTGTTTTGACTAACATTTTTAAGTTTTTGCTTCCTGTGAACATATGAAAAGATTTACATTTGTATTTTAATTGAACTACCTATAAACTAACTTGTTATTTATCTCTCTGTTTACAGATTTTTTGTTGACCTAATTTTTTTAGTGCAAAAATAAGAAAAATTTTAGAACATTTTGCCATGTATCTTATTTTAAGATTGGGAAATATGTGTTATTTTTTGTGTTCATAAAGTCAAAAATCTGTTGCAGGCTGCTCCTGCGTACTGCCTGGTGCATCAACTCAGGACATCTTATTTTTAACAAAGAGACAGAAAGGCTGAGAGAGACGGGCTGGCAGATGTGAGGTCAAATAGGCAGACAGAAATAAAAGGGCAAGCAGAAAACAGGCAGCCAGATAGAAGACAAACTGTTATGTATTGGAATAAGAAATGGGCAGCCATGGTATTGGTTGGATCAAAAATATTGAAGCTTACTTGTAATGTAGGACATGCCCTGGAATCCCACTCTCAATTGCAAGCTTTTTCTTCAAAACACCAATTGTGTCTTCTTTCAAGTTCACACTAAGCTCATAATTTTGCTGTAAACATTTTCAGATGATAAACATGTAATAAAATAATTAAATCTTGTTCACATAACAATAAACATGTGAAAACAGTGATAGATATATAACTAATCTGTTAAAAACTGTCTTCTTGAAGTTGAAAATTGCCTTAATTCATATATTAAGTGCAGTATAGTGTTTAATAACGCCACATTTTTGGTCATGTAATAGTAGTGCATTTTATTATTGTGACAGATGTGTTTTTTTCTTTTTAGACAGAGTAGTGTTTTATTTTGTCCTTTGGGGTTTCTGGACACCCTTTTTCTCATTCAAGGTTGATTTATACAAACATGGTATACTGTTAGAAAAAAAAATCACAATCACAAGTTTCTCTTTTTTCAAAATATAACCAGAAAAAGTCAGTACATCTTGCACTGCTTAAAGCTCTGTTTGAACTTGTATCAGAACATGTGCCTAGGTCCTCTAAATATTGTGGGGGAAAATAGAACGAAATACCAGCTGTTTTTCCCCCTACATTAAGAAATCTGCTTTGCAAATTACTGTTATCGCTGAATGTAGTTTTTTTTTTAAACTAATGTAAGACTGCCAGCTGTTGGTCTGCTGGCAGTCATTTAAAGAACATTACAAAAGAGAGATGTAACTAAAGTTCCCAAATGACCAACTTTCTTGACATGTTATTCTGCAGTTAACTCACCTTGAGCATGACATGACATCGAACCTTGTCTGTTCCACTGGTTTCTATATCTGATTTTTGAGAAGCAGGAATTTTTATCACATTTTGCTTTGGTGTGAATATTGCATAAATCTCATCTCCGTTTTTAATGTGTCTGTCTTGTAATGACCCTGTACAGGAAGAAAAAATATATTTTAAGATGTTTTTGGCCTTTGTACTGCAGACCAGAAGTTTTCAACCCTGGTCCACTGCCCTACGTGTTTTACTGTAGGTGTGTATCTGCTTAAACATATCTGAATCAAATGATTCTATTTTCTCCTCAGCCCTCCAAGGGCTTTGTTGATAGACATCTTGAACTACAAAAAATGACCTGAAAATATGTGAAACTTTCTGAAAATAGATGTATTACCTCATCTGTATGTACCTAATCTGAGCAGAAAAATAAAATGATCTATTAGTGTAATGACTTTTCAACCTTAAAATAAGATTATTACATATTATGCAGTTAAAATAAAACAACAGAGTTGTTGTGTTTTTTTCATATTTTAAATTTAAGCATGGTTCATCCACAACTTGTCATATATATACCCACTCAAATCAAGAGAAAATAAACTTAAATGTATTCCGGAACCCTGGGCTTTGCATTAGACTTCTCTTTTATTTCTATGTACATTGGAAAACCAACAAAACTTGCCTGACAAACCTTTAGCAAGAGAAACATATTTATGGAAAATATTTATGACTTCAAGCAATAAGGCAATTACAACCAAGGCCATCCACCCTGAGGCTCCTAGTTAATATTATAACTTCTTAATAGTATAACTTCTTAATATTATAACTTCTCAAGTCATTTTGGGAAATGCTCGCCTGTTTTGCATACCCAAATGGAAACGCAAATAACTGAGGAACTGTAAGCCCAAATTACATGTGTGATACTTTAATTGAAAGTTAACACCTTCTAGTTTCTGAATATATACATGGAAATTGGGTGAGTAGAACATCCAAGCTGCATCAGTTCAAACAGTCTTTAAAGTTGTTTTTTTATTCTTGAAAATAATAAGTCTTTTTTGAACAGCAGTCATAAAAACATGCTTGTTGTTGTGGCTGCTTTGTCATGCTACATTTCGACATGCTGCTATAATTGTTCTTTGGTGCTCACTTTGTCCATAAAATGAACTAGTTGGTTGAATTGTGGAGAATCTAAGCTTTCCAACAATGTCTAAAATGTCTATATTGGTAAACATGTTACCAGTGTAATTTTAATGCATTCTGAGTTAGTATTTGATTTTAGTATTTGGTTTTGAGAGGATAAACTTGGTCCAGGGGATGGAGACATTGACATTTCACTATGTAAAGACTGTTGAAGAAATGGGATCATCACACATTTAAAGACTTATAATAGCAGTTACATGTACAAAAAAGAAACTGTGTTGTACAGCGTAATCTTTTACCTGCACCTGATACGTTCATGTAAATTGTTTCTTTCTATCTTTTTTGTGCTCTCTAGCCATCATTTTTGTTCTTTTTTTCACATAACTGAAATATGTTAATTTAAAAAAACTATCTAGTATAATGTTTTTTAGGTCTGTAAAGTGGATTTGAAATTGTTATTTAATTGACACCAATGTGGCAACTTTGGACTGCGGAAGATTGTGAAAAGTGAAATGCTGTGCTCAAAGATGACCCTACACATTTAGAGTATGTTTGGCTCAACCTGCTGCTGTGAAGCAGGATTCTCCACCATGAACAGAAACAAAAGTAATTATGGATTCAGGCTCAAAATGAGCACCTTGATATGTGCTTTAGATTAGTGCTTTAGATTTAGCCATTCAAACCCAGGTTTATAAAACTTGCAGGGCAGCGTAAAGCCCACTTCTCTTATTAAGCCATAAACAAAGGAAGAAAAAGAAAGGAAAAAACGGTCAGTTCAGGTGTTTTATAAAATATATGACTCAGGAAATGATCTATATACAAAGCTCAAAGATTTTTGTTGTCTACTTCAAAAACACTTTAGATTTCAAAACTAAAAAGCTTCTATTTTTTTTATCCTTCCATCCATCTTCTTCCGCTTATCCGGGGTTGGGTCTTGGGGCTAGCAGCTTCAGCAGAGAGGCACAGACGTCCCTCTCCTCAGCCACTTGGACCAGCTGTAGTCCCTCCAGCGTGTCCTGGGTCTCCCCCTAAGCCTCCTAGTGGTGGGACATGCCTGGAACACCTAACTAGGGAGACGTCCAGGAGGTATCCTAAGCATATGCACGAGCCACCTCACCTCAATTTTTTTTTTTTTTTTGTTATTAAAAAAACAATTTATAACATGGATGCATATAAACCTAATTTTATTTCAATGTTAAATGCTGTTTAAAGTAACAGATTGTTATTAAAAATTTCTCTGGACCTTTACTGTTTTTTGATTTCATTATTCGGACCCTGCTGATCCATTTGATTGAAAATAGTTCATCTCCACTGCATTCCTTCACCCAGCCACATCTAATTCCTGATTGGTTTTCATGATATGGCAACCCTCTTCCAGAGAATGCATTTCAATGTAAAACACTTGATTACATTTTTGTTTAATGCTCAAACTATGCCTAGGCAGTAGGGGTGTAAATCACATCCATCATGGCGATTCGATTCAGTATCGATTTCCTGACCCAACGATTCGATTATTTTCGATACTCAAGAATACACCACGATTCGAATCGATTAATCGGTTAATTTTTTTTTTATTATTATTTCTTTTTTTACACCTTACAGGCTAAACAAAGTTTCAAGTTTGAAATAAATCAATCAAAGCTGTAATATCATTATGCATTGTCTTTAGAAACAACAGCAAATAACAGAAGTAGAAAAGTTGCATAAAAAAATACTGCAAAAATACTGCACAATATCAGTGTAATGAGTTCAATGCAATACCTCGGCTCCAGAGAAACTGTCCAACCTATTTTTTTAGAATGTAATAAATATACTCAGGAAAGAGAGATGTTGCGTAGAGAGTTAGACAGGAATAAAAATAAACTAGATATAAGGGAATTGTTTCAAAGGTCATCTGGGGATGTAGTTTTTGGTAGTATTTTTAATTTTCTAAGAAGAACGGGTATTTTAGGGAGAATATAATAGTTTGTTTGGTCCATACTCCATTCTGGAAGGTGGCGGTAATGCACCTATAAGTTGTTTGCCAACCGCCATTAAAAAAAAGAAGAAGAAGAAGAAGGCTCCAGTGTCGACGTCACCGCCCCCTTGAGAGACGCTCCGCTGCACCTCTCTCAGATTGTAGCTGATTGCAAACAGTGCACCAGACAGGAGGCCGGCTTGTTTTGTTTTTATGACCGAAATTGCGGAAAACAACTCGTGAAGTTTGACCCGCTAGATGAGCGAGGTGCGCGAGAACGCTGGGACCCTTTTTCCAGCTGAATCTCCGCTCTTTTTCCCCCATTGTCCCTCCGTCGTCGGACTAAACTCGCCCCCACTTCCTCATCGCCTCGGCCGTATCTAGACCCACAGCGTGTAGCCCAGACCACGCTTCAATACTGAGCATAATTTAAAAATGTCTGTGTGAAGCTTGCTGCAACTAACTGCTGTAAGAGTATAACCAGGAAGCGCGGTAGGAGGGCACAATAGGTTTAGTGGCACCGCAGCACGGGAGGGAGAATTACGCCCAGGAGCAAATGGATAAAAATAGACCGGAGGAAAAAAAAAAACATGAATCGATTATCTTGCGGACGTGTCGATGCATCGGATCGTCGGCTTTTGGATCGATGCATCGATACAAAACGATTATTATTTACACCCCTACTAGGCAGTGTTGGGATCTGGAGCGGTACCATCCGTCTCCAGCAGAGTGCGACGTGGATCCTCCTGAAGCTGAGCCTCCAACACACCTGAGGCGCATCTCGTCATCAGGAGGACCTGCAGTATATAACCGGCCTTCAGACCTTGCCTCAATGCCGCAGTGTTGATCCAGTTTGGTTAGCACCTAAGCCTAGAACCTCCTGAGAATCTCTAGTGATCTCCCTAGTGATCAGTCTCTCTTCTGACTTCTCGTTGTCTATGCTTCACAGGAAACCTGTTCCTTTGGAAGCTCTGGATGAGCTTAACCTGTCGAGCCTGCCCTCAGAGCCAAACCTGAAGACTCTCCTCTGGATTCCTCTGCAGCTCTTGGCTAAGAGCTGGAAACCAAAACCCAAGGTCTGCATTCAAGTCAGAAGTAAGACGCTGAAGCGGTTATTGAACTCTGCTGAACAAATCAGTCTCTGGACCCAACAGAAATATCCTGTCCAGGGGTGATGCTGAGAAACTAGTCCATGCATTTGTTACTTCAAGGCTGGACTATTGTAATTCTTTACTATCAGGAAGTCCACAAACTGTAGTTAAAAGCCTTCAGCTGATCCAAAATGCTGCAGCCAGAGTTCTAATGAAAATTAAAAAGAGAGATCATATCTCGCCTATCCTGGCTTCTCTTCATTGGCTTCCTGTTAAATCAAGAATAGAATTTAAAATCCTCCTTCTCACATATAAAGCCTTAAATGGCCAAGCTCCATCTTATATCAGAGATCTGATTGTTCCTTATGTTCCTAACAGAGCACTTCGCTCTCAATCTGCAGGTTTACTAGTGGTTCCTAGAATTTCTAAAAGTAGAATGGGAGGCAGATCTTTTAGTTATCAGGCTCCTCTCCTGTGGAACCAACTACCAGTTTTAGTCCGTGAGGCAGACACCCTGTCTACTTTTAAGGCTAGGCTTAAAACTTTCCTTTTTGATAAAGCTTATAGTTAGGGTGGCTCAGGTTATCCTGAGCTATCTCTGTAGTTATGCTGCTATAGGCTTAGACTTTTGGAGGACATAGGGACCCCCATTTCATCATTCTGCTTCATTCTCTCTCTGTTCTCCTATTCTGCAGAATCTGTTAGTTCAATCTCTAACCTTCTGCTCTCTCTGCTTTTCCTCAGAGTAGCTTTGCCTCGTCTGTTCCTGTTTGGCTGTGACGTCATCCTGGAAAGAAACATCAGCTGTGCTGCTTCTATCAACACCCTTGTTTATAGATGTTGGAGATCGGCCTGTTTTCCAGTGTGGTCCTGTTTCTCTGACCGTGACTGAGTGGATGTGCTCTCTTCGTCCTCTGGCATGGGAGCTGCCTTGGAGCTCGTCTGCCTGGCTGCGTGTTTCCTGGACGGGGCCGCCTTTTACAGCTGCTTTTTGTATCTCTGCTTCTGTCTCCTTGAACCCCAGTCGGCCTCGGCAGATGGCCGCTCACACTGAGCCTGGTTCTGCTGGAGGTTTCTTCCTGTTAAAAGGGAGTTTTTCCTCTCCACTGTCGCTACAAGCATGCTTAGTGTGGGGGATTGTATTTGAGTCAATGAGTCAATGCAATCAACTGGTTTTCCTTAGATAGAAAACTTTGTATCAATTTGACTGTATGATCTGGTTGAACTGTAAAGTGCCTTGAGATGACATGTGTTGTGAATTTGGCGCTATATAAATAAACTGAATTGAATTGAATTGAACAGTTCCTTCCTCAAAGAGAAACCCGGACTCCTCAAGGTAATCTTCTGAAACTTCCAAACACAAACTCCTCAGTGCCAACGCTAACTGAACTGTCATCCTCACAGACTCCAGTGAACCTGTCCCCGGCCAGAACCAATTCCAGTCCATATTATTTATGTGCTTGTGTTTTAAATAAACTTTGTAAAACTTTCCATCTGTTTCCGTGGTGTTCTGCATATTGGGCTTCTCTGAGGACCAATTATGACAGGCAGGTAGTTGATTATAAACAGGTTATAATCTTGATATTTACTCCAGAAGGATTTTGCTTGAACATTGTGCTCAATCTTTATTGTGCAACCTGAATCAAATCACTAAGCATACACTGCTGCTTTTGAAATCTGTGCATATTGCTTTATGAATTAAGAACACGACATTATAATAAATATGAATGAAATAAGAATAACTGCACAATACAATCATGTAGGATTTCCAATGTCAGCTCATACATCAACTTAATTAATGATCCAGACCATGAGAGATAAACAGGTCATATCCTTTGATTTAATGTGTTTTTCTCAGATTACATTACAGTAGGATTTGCTGACAGCTCCACCAAATGGTATCACTCAGAAATAAGTGGCCTGCTTGCTAGAAGCAGTGATGTAGAGATGCATGGCTCGCACATTAGTTTTAATGCAGAGCCGTTAAAGGGCTGTTTGCAGTTTTGATTATACTTATATTGATTCTTTTTCCAGCATACGCTATTAATTTCCATATGCATTTTAGTCAAATGAAAACAAGTAAAGGAACCAGTTTTCTTTCAGCATTATGTTTATGTACAGAAAATGATAAATACATCCTAGAATTTTGCTAATTAAACAAAACATAGTTTTTTTAATTTTTGTAAATCAAGTAGAAATGGTTTTAAATCATTAAAGGTACAACATAAGTGACGGTTAAAAACAATCTCATATAAACTTACATGTGTTGAAGAAAGGATCATCCGTCAGGGGCATTCCATCCATTGTAAAGAGACAAACTTCCATGGATTGGCCAAGACATTCATTGTGACTTATCCTTAGCATCAGGTCTTCGACTGTGTTCTGAGAGGGATCCATATCTGCAGTCAATGAATAAATAACAGAAGGTTTTAGGTCATTTTTTCTTCCTTAATACGTAATACTGATATGCAGACCACATTGACTTTGTCCATGTTATAAACAAATTAAAGGAACACAAGGTCAGGCGAGCGTGGGGGCCAATCAGTGGTATCAATTCCTTCATCCTCCAGGAACTGCCTGTATACTCTCACCATGAGGCCAGGCATTGTTATGCACCAGGAGGAACCCAGGACCCACTGCACCAGCAGCATAGGGTCTGACAATGGGTGCAAGGATTTCATCCCGATACCTAATGGCAGTCGTCAGGATGCCGTTGTCTAGCCTGCATAGGTCTGCGTCCCTCCATGGATATGCCTCCCCAGACCATTACTGACCCACCACCAAACCGGTCATCCTGAACGATGTTACAGGCAGCATAACATTCTCCATGGCTTCTCCAGACCCTGTAACGTCTGTCACATGTGCTCAGGGTGAACCTGCTCTCATCTGTGAAAAGAACAGGGCTCAGTGGCAGACTTGCCAATTCCGTTGTTCTGTGGCAAATGCCAATCGAGCTCTATGGTGCCAGGCATTGAGCACAGGGCCCACTAGAGGACGCGGGCCCTCAGGCCACCCTCATGAAGTCTGTTTCTGAATGTCGGTCAGAGACATTCACACCAGTGGCCTGCTGGAGTTCATTTTGTAGGGCTCTGGAAGTGCTCCTCCTGCTCCTCCTTGCAGAAAGGAACAGATACCGGTCATGCTGATGGGTTGTAGACCTTTTACGGTCTGTCCAGCTCTCCTGTAGTAACTGCCTGTCTCCTGGAATCTCCTCCATGCTCTTGAGATTGTGCTGGGAGACACAGCAAACCTTCTGGCAATGGCACGTATTGATGTGCCCTCCTTGAGGAGTTGGGCTGCCTATGGATCCTCTGTAGGGTCCAGGTACCGTCTGATGCTAATAGTAGTGACAATGACGCTAGCCAAATGCAAAACTAGTGAAAGAGTCAGAAAAGAGGAGGAGGGGGAAAAATGTCAGTGGCCTCCACCTGTAAAACCATTCCTGTTTTGATGGTCGTCTCGTTGTTGCCCCTCTAGTGCACCTGTTGGTAATGTCCTTAACACCAAAGCAACTGAAACTGATTAACAACCCCCTCTGCTACTTACCTGATATATATATATATGTATATATATATCAGTGTATATATATATATATATATATATATATATATATATATATATATATATATATATATATATATATATATATATATATATATATATATATATATATATATATATATATATATATATATATATATACTCTTAACTGTTTTCTAACCCCTCGTGGGGTGGTATGTGTCATCCTCAAGCTCGGGTCCTCTACCAGAGGCCTGGGAGTTTGGGGGTTCTGCGCAGTATCTTAGCTGTTCCTAGGACTGCACTCTTCTGGACAGAGACCTCTGATGTTTTACCTGGAATCTGCTGTAGCCACTCTCCCAGTTTGGGGGTCACAGCCCCCAGCGCTCCAATTACTACTGGCACAACTGCTGCTCTTACTTTCCACATCTTTTCTAGCTCCTCTTTCAGCCCTTGGTATTTCTCAAGCTTCTCGTGTTCTTTCTTCTTGATGTTTACTAGTGGTTCCTAGAATTTCTAAAAGTAGAATGGGAGGCAGATCTTTTAGTTATCAGGCTCCTCTCCTGTGGAACCAACTACCAGTTTTAGTCCGTGAGGCAGACACCCTGTCTACTTTTAAGGCTAGGCTTAAAACTTTCATTTTTGATAAAGCTTATAGTTAGGGTGGCTCAGGTTATCCTGAGCTATCTCTATAGTTATGCTGCTATAGGCTTAGACTTTTGGAGGACATAGGGACCCCCATTTCATCATTCTGCTTCATTCTCTCTCTGTTCTCCTATTCTGCAGAATCTGTTAGTTCAATCTCTAACCTTCTGCTCTCTCTGCTTTTCCTCAGAGTAGCTTTGCCTCGTCTGTTCCTGTTTGGCTGTGACGTCATCCTGGAAAAAAACATCAGCTGTGCTGCTTCTATCAACACCCTTGTTAATAGATGTTGGAGATCGGCCTGTTTTCCAGTGTGGTCCTGTTTCTCTGACCGTGACTGAGTGGATGTGCTCTCTTCGTCCTCTGGCATGGGAGCTGCCTTGGAGCTCGTCTGCCTGGCTGTGTGTTTCCTGGACGGGGCCGCCTTTTACAGCTGCTTTTTGTATCTCTGCTTCTGTCTCCTTGAACCCCAGTCGGCCTCGGCAGATGGCCGCTCACACTGAGCCTGGTTCTGCTGGAGGTTTCTTCCTGTTAAAAGGGAGTTTTTTCCTCTCCACTGTCGCTACAAGCATGCTTAGTGTGGGGGATTGTATTTGAGTCAATGAGTCAATGCAATCAACTGGTTTTCCTTAGATAGAAAACTTTGTATCAATTTGACTGTATGATCTGGTTGAACTGTAAAGTGCCTTGAGATGACATGTGTTGTGAATTTGGCGCTATATAAATAAACTGAATTGAATTGAATTGAATGTTGCTGTCGCTTGGGATTGCCACATCTATCACTACTGCCTTCTTCTGCTGTTTGTCGATCAACACGATGTCTGGTTGGTTAGCCATCACCTGTTTGTCAGGCTGGATCTTGAAGTCCCATAGGATCTTAGCTCGGTCATTCTCAACTACCTTAGGAGGTGTCTTCCATTTTGACCTTGGGACTTCCAGCCCATACTCATGGCAGATGTTCCTGTACACTACAACCTACTACCTGGTTGTGGCGTTCCATGTATGCACTTCCTGCCAGCATTTTACACCCTGCTGTTATGTGCTGTATTGTTTCAGAGGCATCTTTGCACAGTCTGCACCGGGGGTTCTGCCTGGTGTGATAGACCTGGGCCTCTATTGATCTTGTACTGAGTGCCTGTTCTTGTGCTGCCATGATTAGTGCCTCTGTGCTGTCCTTCAGTCCAGCCTTTTCCAGCCACTGGTAGGATTTTTGATAGCAGCCACTTCTTCTATTTGTCTGTGGTACATGCCATGCAGCGGCTTGTCCCTCCATGATGGTTCTCCTTCATCTTTCTTGTTCTCTTTCGGTTTTCTCCTGCCTGAGGTATTCACCAAGCCATTTGTCTTTGGGGGCCATTTTCCTGATGTACTCCTGGATCTTAGTTGTTTCATCCTGGACAGTGGTCTTGACACTCACTAGCCCTCGGCCTCCCTCTCTACGCTTGGTATACAGTCTCAGGGTGCTGGATTTTGGGTGAAATCCTCTATGCATTGTGAGGAGCTTTCTCGTCTTGATGTCAGTAGCCTCTATCTCCTCTTTAGGCCACTTTATTATACCAGCGGGGTATCTGATGACTGGCAGGGCATATGTGTTGATGGCTTGGATCTTGTTTTTCCCATTCAGCTGACGGTACAGGTGATTGTGAGTTCGATTCCCGGCATGGACATCCAGTTGGACCCTTAGGCAAGGTCCTTAGTGCTTAGTGGCCTACCTCAGGCATGAGTGAAACCGCAAATACAAGAGCCATACCAGCTCGGACGTCGCCCAGGTTAACAAGGTCTGCGTCAGTTGCTAGGGAACCAGGGCAACTTGATGACAAATTGGCTACTGGAACAAGACATAGCTGGACTAGAGCAGAAAACTTGGAACTGATGAAATGCTACTATACAAGCGACCCCAGTGAGAGAGGTTTTATACATATACATATATATATATATATATATATATATATATACATATATATATATATATATATATATATATATACATATATATATATATATATATATATACATATATATATATATATATATATATATATATATATATATATATATATATATATATACATATATATATATACATATATATATACATATATATATATACATATACATATATACATATATATATATACATATACATATATATATATATATATACATATATATATATATATATATATATATATATATATATACATATATATATATATATATATATATATATATATATATATATATATATATATATATATATATATATATATATATATATATACATATATATATATACATATACATATATATATATACATATATATATATATATATATATATATATATATATATATATATATATATATATATATATATATATATATATTTTTTTTTTTTTTTTTTTTTTTTTTTTACCAGCTTTCTTTCTTTAACAATCAGAATAAAATGTGTGTGACCATGGTGCAAAAAGTCCTGGGCCATTTTTAAAAAAAACCTGAATTCAGAAATCCGAGGTTGAGACAAAAGCCACACTTGACCTTGCGTATGGAGTGCATCCTTGCTTCATCTGTTCAACAAATGCTCAACCGGGTTACCATAAGCCAGTTCTAAGTAATCTACATTTTTCTTCCACAGACCATGAGGTCAGTCAGAGCTGTTGATTCAGCAAAAGAAAGCAGATCAACTAAATGCTTAAAATGCCTAAAATACCCATTCCCTAACCACTTAAAAATAGTTGTCCGGGCACCTCACAAACATATAAAATGTTCTGAATTTTACTGGATGTCTGCAACTTTAGCCAAATCAGTTTTTATTGTAATATGTTTTGGGGTTTGAAAGTCAGCAGGACATTATGTCATTCACTCTGGAAATCATTGAAAATATGAAAAAATGAAAATAGTCCTAGTTTTAGTCCCAAACTGCTTTTAATTTTGAACTGGTTACATTTTTGTCAGCAAAAATCTTGCTGTAATTAAAATAAATGATAAAATATTGAATCCAAAAAAGTTAATACTTGTTTCCCACATTTAACTCTTTAAGGCACACCAGTCATGATATACTCACCTTGTAACAGGTGAAAATGAAGAACAAAAAGTTAAAAAAGTAAGGTAATGTCTGATGGAACATGCTGTCTTAATGTCCATACATTGTGCTCAACAGTATTACGTTGAGAGCAACCATATGCACTTCTTTTTTTTTTTTAAATAACATCACTTTGATCAGTTAATGTAGAAAATAAGTGGTTAATTTCGAAGATACACTATAAATTGAATCCTACATCAGAGAACCATAAATATGTCTAATAAAGTAACAGCAACTCTTAGCTTAGTTAACTCTCATGTTTAAGTGGAGCTCAGACTGCTGTACAGCAGTGATATGGAACACATGACGGATTCAGTGATGAGGCTGACTCTCTCAAGTTAGAATAACAAGAAACCCGCATGGAGAATCTATTCGCACCAAGGGTTACATATTGATCTGAAAAAAAAAAGTTCTAAAATTAAGCAAATGCTTTTGTAAAAAGTTGCTCAGGGTTGCTTTAAAGTATGCTTCAGTATCTTTGAAAATATTTAAGTAAGTTGTAGAACGTAGATCAAGTAGAAAACTGACTTTAAAATCTTTTGGCTTCAAGAAACTATTTGTGTAGCACAAGTTTAACTTTAACCAGGGCTCATATTTTGCATCAATCTAGAATATTTATTTTAGAAAAAAAATAAAATAAATTCTGTTCTTTTCTTTTCATGATCTGATCAACTCCTTCCCATCCTCTTTCTCTATTTCTATTTTATTTCCTCCATGAAACACCTATGCTCACCGAATATGACGACTGCTGCACGATTAGTACAATGACATAGTGATGACACTATGATAGAATTTATAGATGACAGTATGTGAAAGTATTTAATGTCTTCTTGCACTGATAACCATGAAGTAATTATATAGCCTGAGAAGTGTGGCTTTCAGAGTTTCATATTTGGTTTACAGATTCAAGAAATAAGACAAAAAAGGGAGGGGTTTATTGACTGTGATGGGCTTGCGCTGTTTAAAACAGCAGTGGCCTAAGAAAAAATTGGTCTGCAATTTTATTTTAGTAAAGATGAGTCCTGATTAGCACAAAAACAAGCTTTTATTAACAAACTAAACAACAAAAGGCAGCACAGGAGTGGCTGCTGCTTTTTGCAGGATATAATTCTTGTGTCATTTTTTAAGCAAACAGTTCTGACAAAATGCCACAAAAATAAATTTCCTACCTTTGATGCATTTTGGTTCAGGGCATTTGGGATACGTATACATCAGAGAGAATGCTTTCAATGACTTTTGTAATGATGGAACTGACTGGGCTGGGGCTCTTAATCTGGAAACATTGTTCTTCAATAAAGTGAAACGATTCTTCTCCACTTGAGTCAGTCCTGTTTTGAAAAAGGAGATTTGATATGTTTAGAATTTCGGTGGCAATGGGGTGCAAATGTGTTGTAAATACACAATTTAATCAAAAAGTCCATTAATAAGTCCTGCAAACACAAAAATGACACCAGTGTGAATTAAAAATGAGCACCGAGAGGCAATACGCAAGGAAGAAAATTTAACAAATTTGACCTGGACAAACAAAAATCTTCAAACCTCCATTCAACCTGACTTATGAATAGCTACATAAGGGGAGTGTTGTCCGAGTGATTAGAGCAGTGCGCTTGCGCTCTGGGAAGGTTGCAAGTCCCGGGCTCTATCCCCACAGCCTCCACTCTGGGTACCAGAGCAAAACCCTTAACCCCCCACTGCTCCTTGTGTGCTAAACAATGGCAGCCCACTGCTCACCAAGGGGACTGGTTAAATGCAGAGGTCAATTTCTCCAATGTGAGGTCAATAAAGTTTAATTAAAATTAATTAAGCTTTATTGGGAGCTGTGGACATTAAGTCTTTTAGACATTGTCTGTAATGAAATAGATGTGAGGTCGAAAATTGAATTTGGAGGTCCTGGCAGGTTGCCCATTGCCAAACTTATTAAAACAACACTGTTAAGACACTAAAATGTAATGACCTCAGAAAGTACATGCACAATAACACATGTACTTCCTGCAGAGGATGAGGAGAGCCCACCTAATGATCTGAACTTCCATATCAATGCCTTTTTGCACCAAGTTTTTTTTTCTCCCACAATGTTTACATTTGATCACTGCTGCACTTTATGGAATGGAAATGTCATGAAAGGTGTACAAAAAGAAATTTTGTTTTGAAAATAAAAGTTGTCCAAGTCTAAAAAATTGAATGACTTAAATGACAAGAGCCATTGTGTCAGAACAGGAAACAGTCATGAACCAAGGCAAAAGGTTGGGAACAGATGATTCCTGGCTACTAACAATCTGACCTGCTCATTGTAAAAGGGTGTGTCCGTGAGAAGAAAGTGCTTAATAGAGGTCAGCAACTTCACCCAACCAAATAGATCTCACAGCTGCTCATAATAAACTGGGTAATACTCAGTCAGTTTCGATATAATGACCTCAGGTTGGTGTCTAAGCTGTTGCCCTGAAGGAACTGAGGGGTGAAGGGGTTTGGCTCAGTTTTTACAGCAACATTACTCATGAATATTAGCAATTAAATAAGAAAGATGTTTCAACAAAAAACCTGCTAATTACCGTTCTTTAAAAGATATATTCCCTCCATAAAAATCAACAGATATTTTATCTGTCAAATGTTTTTTATCTTGATGTCAGTGGCGAGAGAGGGCGCTACAGCTCCCCTGCCCTCCAGCCCAATGACCTTGATCAAGACATTAGAAAAAATTAGAAAAAACTTAAAATATTTCTAAATATACTGATATATATATTTTTAAAATCTGTAAGATAAATATTTAATCTTTAATGACGAGTAAAGGGTCATTTCATTTTGTGTCGGATTGATCACGTATTTCCGCCGTAGGGTGAAAAAATATTTAACCATAGACTCTCGTTTAGAGTTTGCCTTCACAAAGCCTCAGAAGGGCAAGATTGATGTACAAAAAGTAAACGTTAGTATATGTTTGATTGGTTTAAGGTATATTTCTATTTTGAATTTATAGCCCCCCCGGAGAAAACTCCACCAGCCGCCACTGCTTGATGTAGTAAAGAACACAAACAGTGGATGTGAACTGCAACTCGGTTTTGTGATTTTTTTTTAATTTTTTGTGATACCTGAAGAATCTGTAGGTGGCACCTCGTATCAATAAATGGACTGCAAGTCACTGGCAGGTGTAATGAGACCCCTTATATTCTTCCAATCTAAAATTAAACATTCTGGATGCCTACAAATTAATCTCCATGTTTGTACTGTCACTGGCCATAATTGGTAAAACTATTTTGACTAGGAACAAATATATTTCAGATATCATAAATACATTACAGTTTAAGCTGATAAATGGTGCCCCTTAAAATATGTTAACATTTCTAAGTATATGAAACTTTATTCTTACAATTCAAATTTAGGTTTTTGTTTGTTTTTTTTTTATTTTGAAATACAGTTTCTGTGGGCAAAAATGTTAATTAGGACATCTGTTTTCACAATTTTGTCTGGGAATGTGATTTTGACAAGGAAGATTCCTATTTTATGAATCTATTATTAGGAAAACAGAGAGGAGATAGCTTTTCGTGAATGTCAAAACGGCCTGCCATACTAGACAACATAAAAACGTATGTATTAACTCGATCAGCACGCTTGTTCTTTGCCATCTGCCTCTCCTTTGCAGCTGATACGGTGTCGCTCTTTGTTTTTAACACTTTCTCCTATATTTATTTTTAACTATGCATCAAAATCTCTAGTTCCCAGTTGTGTCAGGTAGATACTTCCTCTTGCCTGTTGTCATGGTTACACATTGAACCCCACTGAAAATGTTTTTTTCATTGTTGTTACGCACATGCTCAACCCTGAGGGAATGTACTCAGTGTTGAATAAAATAAATCACAGCAGCTGTAGTGAAACCAAAAACTCAGAGTTTCAACCTTTGGCTAGATCAATTCAGAGTTGAGGATTTGAGTCTAAGTTTGTTAAGTCTGCTTTGTGAAACAGACCTCTGGTGGTAGAAGTCAGAGTTTTGACCCTTAGTTAAAACTCTTGCCAAAAAGTGCTATTAAGGTTTGTAACCTTAATTTGTATACATTTAAGGTTTTGCTATTTTGATAAACTCGTTATATATTCAATTATTGATTAGAATTTGTATTTTGTTTATTTATTACTAAAAGGGACAATGAAAATTAATTAACATAATGCAAATATTGGCATTGTAGATGGGACATGTTTCTTTAATTAGCCCCCAGCAGGAAAAAAGACAACCTCATTAAACCAAACAGTGAAAAAGAAAGAAAAGAAAGAGAAGTCAATCTGCAAAAGAGAAATACTGTGATCTAAAAATTTTTAAACCACCATTACTTCATTTAAAGGCTCCTCTATTCATATGGCAGAGTTGATTCAACAGCATGCACTGCTTCTTCTTCCAGATCAAATATTCTTCATACATTAGCTAAGTACTTACCAAGGTCAAAGAATTCTTGGAAGTGTTCAGATAGAGGTTAAGATTGTTTTAGAAATTAACTTTGGTGCGATAAAAAGCTATTTAAAAAGCATTTTAATCTTTGAGAGAACTCCTGAAGCGGAAAAAAAAATTGTTTAGAGTGAGAAGGACTTTTAAGAGAGTCTTAAGCCGAGCAGATGCCAGAAATAGAGATGGATTATCCACACAAACCGTGAAATAAATGAGCATATAAACTGCCTTAAAATTTCATTCAATTATTAATTTTGAGGTAAGATAAACTTATCAATTGGATGAGTTAAAGGTGTACCTCTGGTAGCATAATTGTATTTTAGATAAATATATCTGAAAAAATATCTGATGTTTTTTATATTTGCAGATTGCAAAATGCTCTAAATAAATATTTTTAAATGATTATAGAAAGTGGCAGGCAAATATATATAAATACACACTAAAGCCTAAATAAATTACAGTCAAATAAACTCTACAGGAAGAATAATTTTTGTGTATTGCATCACTTCTTTGGCTTTTCACTGCTGCAAAAAATAAAAAAAACCTTCTCCCTCTACAGACTGGTGTGTCTGTGAGAGAAAATGTCTGCTTCTTAGTATCATGATCCCAGGACCAATTTATCCTCCAGCCAGTGGCGGCCGGCCCATAGGGGCTGGGGCACCGCCCTCCCTGATTAGAAGAGAGAAACGTAAAATATATTTTTAGAAATTAACTCATAAATGTCAGTTTTACTCTCTAGAGTGTGTACCTATAAGCAAAACAAATTATATAAACTACATTTCCCAACCTACTGTCATTCATTTGTGGATTTCCACAGACAGACTCCTACCGTCTCTGTCTTGGGGAGCTGATCAGTCTGCCCCACATGTGCAGAGAATCTGCCAATCATGTACTATTGCTAGGTCAATTTATTTAATGGCCAATCAGCGTCTCAGAATTTTATGGTCTTGGGGTGCTGAAAATACTGCCCTTTAACAGGCTTCTGCACCCAATGCGCAGGTGCAGACAATTAGAGGGACTATATGGACAAAACTGATTTATGAGAAGAAATTAGAAATAAGAGAGCCTGAGGGGAGGGGCTTAAACCATTTAATGAGGGCTGTGTGAAGAAGAGTGGACATTTTTTGTTTTCTGTTTCTTTATTAGATTGCTGGTAACTGGAGGGAGGCTGAGGCCTAGAGTATCTTAGTTTCTTTTGCACCCTGTTTTGAGTTTTTGAGCACAATAAATCACCAACACCGGTAACCCGACTGAGCCTGGATTCTTGGAGGCCAAAGAACCCCGTCACAGTGACCAAAATCATCACTGTTACTGTTATTATATAGTAAATTAAATCATTACTGTTAAATTGTATTTATTGTCCAATTGTTTATTTGAATTCTTATTCTGGATTAGTTGGAGACATACACTAGGCCAGGGGTGGGCAAACTTTTTGACTTGCGGGCCCGAATGGGTTCTAAAATTTGACAGAAGGGCCGGGCCAGGAGCATTTGGACAAGCAATGTAATTTATTAAACCTGGGGATTGAAATGTATTTAAAAAAACAGACAATTGAAGGTGCAAATTTAAAGAAATCAACATTTAGTGAAAAAAAAATCAATGGAATCACTTTCAACATTCAGAACATATTATTACCCAACGAAAGGTAGGGGTCTTTAAAATGAGAGCGATGTGCGGCATGTTAATTAAGCTACTGTACCGCTGCTGTGCGTAAATGCGCAAGTTGCTATTTTTTTCATAACACAGTAGAAAAACTCACATTTTAGTGGGAACAATGTTGTTGTTCTCCTTTTTTTGCCAGTGCATCAAAGTCTGGAGTTAGTTTAGTTGTGGCAATTCTGCGCGTCCGACAGAAATAGTATAGGCAGGATGATAATCTGGATGAACTGACTGCAATTATTAAGTTTTCAGGTGGACTTTCTCCCTTAAAAACATATTAAAACTACTTTATTCCCACTGATCACAGCAAATATAGCTGCAAGATTTAGATTATTTAGATGAAAAAACACCTGCCAGCCGCCGCAGTGAACCCGGAGGCTACCCGGCCTAGAGGCTGCTGATGAAGGGATTTCTACTGTCAGCGCACCGCTGGTATGTGGGGGTCTGAGCGCCTCCGACAGAAATAGTATAGGCAGGATGATAATCTGGATGAATTGACTGCAATTATTAAGTTTTCAGGTGGACTTTCTCCCTTAAAAACATATTAAAACTACTTTATTCCCACTGATCACAGCAAATATAGCTGCAAGATTTAGATTATTTAGATGAAAAACACCTGCCAGCCACCGCGGTGAACCCGGAGGCGACCCGGCCCAGAGGCTGCTGTTGAATTAAGTTTTCAGGTAGAAAAATAGAGCGGGAGCAAAACTGAGTATGTTTGTGCTTTATTCAAGTATTTATTACAAAGTATTAATCGAACCCATCAAAGTCATCATTCTCTGTTTCTGAATTAAACAGCTGCACTAAATCAGACAAGCCAATTTCCCCTTCTTTGCTGTCAGAGTCACTTTCCGTGCCGGGCGGCTCCTCAGAAATGATGCCTGCTTTTGCAAAAGCTCGAACAACAGAGCCAGCAGACACGTTAGTCCAAGCATCTACAATCCATCCGCAAACGGTGGCGTAACTTGCCCGGCGCTGCCTTCCACTTTTCGTGAAACTGTGGTCTCTGTCTGTCATCCATCGCTCCCACACCGCTCGCAGCCTTACTTTGAACGGCCGCTTCACACCGATGTCGAGCGGTTGAAGTTCCTTTGTCAGATCTCCCGGGATAACGGCGAGCACAGCGTTCATTTGATTCAGCATGTTTTTCACATCGGCTGTGAGATGGGCACGCATGGAGTCACAGATTAACAGCGATGGTGATGCGTGGAAGAAAGCACCTGGTCTCCTCACATACACCTGCCTCAGCCACGCTTTCATGATCTCCTCATCCATCCAGCCCTTTTCATTTGCCTTAATATCATATGTCATCAGAGTGCTGTGTCATTCTCGCTGTCAGCTCCCAGATCAGCTTCTCTGATTGGTTGATGCGGCGCGTCCAGCAGCAAAACTTCAATTTTTCTTCTCGAGCAGCAGCAGCGCGTTGGCGGCGAGTCAGATGCTTAAGGGCTCCTGACGCGCTGCGCCTGCTGCTCAAAACGCGCTGCGGGACCTTTTGATGCGCCTATACACGCGTCAACCATTGACTTTGCATGTAAACTCGCTGCTTCTGCTGAGCCTGCTGCGTCCGGTTCACACCGATGTTGAGCGGTTGAAGTTCCTTTGTCAGACCTCCCGCAAAATGTTTTTCACATCAGCTGTGAGATGGGCACGCATGGAGTCACAGATTAACAGTGATGGTGATGAGTGGAAAAAAAACAACCTGGTCTCCTTACATACACCTCCCTCAGCCACTCTTTCATCATCTCCTCAATGAGGTGGTCTCAAAAGTCGCAGTTACAACACACATAGGGCGCACCGCACCAAAGGGCACACCACACATTTTGAGGGAAAAAAAAGACGTTTATGTGCGCCTTATAGTCGTGAAAATATGGTAATTTGGACAAGTTCGGCGGGCCGGATTAAAAAGCCTAACGGGCCGTATATGGCCCGGGGGCCGTAGTTTGCCCATGTCTGCACTAGGCTATATCAGCCCCACCAAAAATTTTTTTCACCAGCCGCCACTGCCTCCAGCACTCTTGTATTCTTATCACAGGGTTGTGTCAACAGCATGCACGGCCTTAGTAGAGGGAGATACTGTATATCCCAGCATGCTTTGCAAGGAGAGCTCTCCTCACTAAGCATTATGGGATTTGCTCCGACGGCGTCCCACTGTCACCATAGGCTGTCACTACCCGACATCAGCGACTAATAACAAAGATGGCTTGGGCGCCGTGCAGTGGAGGAGGAGTTACGTGACCAACGGAGCAAAAAGCAGTGATCATCTGTCTGAACGATCAGTTAACTGAGTTCACTATAAAGTCCTCGCTCTATATAGTGATTGAGGGATTTAGGGGTTAGGGCGGACGTTCTGACACAGTAAGCTTGTATGACCTATGAGAGCAGCAACTTTTAAAGAGAGCGTGCAAGAGGAGAAATGGGCTTGTGCACGCTCTCGCACACTCATTTTTTTAAGTGGGGAGAACAGGTCTTTTAAAAAATTTGCTAAAATCCTACACAATACCTTTAGGTTATTTATATTCTAAGGTTTGGAAAATAAAGGGAAAAGTGTGCGCCATGATTTCACTCCAGCCCTCAGTGCTCTCTGCTGGTAGAGAAGGGAGAGGAGGGGCAATGGCAAAAGAGAGAAAAAAGAGGGTGGAGAGAAGCTGTAGCCAGCTGAATTTTGTGAAGAAATTCAAGAACTGTGCCGTAACTTAAGTATCAATATTGCTATGCTAATTGTGACCCAATCCTAACACCAGTTTGGAAGCGATATTATTTATATTTTGGAATCAATTGACCCACTTCTAATAAGTGCATACATATATACAATTATTTAATGTTTTACCCTAAACCTGTCTTTTACCCTTTATGGTGGGGTTCTATGCTCCTGTCCATTAAAATATTGGAGTTAGAGTTGTATGCATCAAACAAAAGAGATGGAACAAAGAAGAGAGAGAAGAACTAAAACAAAATCTGTGCTTCTTTCACTGGTTTTTGACTAACCAGTATACATGCAATTAACTAAGTCACATAAAGTGTGAAAAATAATTGTTGGTATTGTGAGATCTCAATGTATTATCTTAATTTGATGAAAAATATCAAAAAGCAAGGCTTCACAATTTTATGTTTCCCTGTTATTAGCTGACCTCAAAAACTGAGTAATCAGAGAACAGGTTTTTGAATGCAATCAGTAACAAAACAGAAAGCAAAGCAGTGACAGTAGACATTTGACTCTGAATTGTTTTAAAAGTGAAATACTGAGATTTTGTGGATTTAGATGTATTCTCTGCAGTACCTTTGAGCAAAATCTTATGCCCTATATTGTCGGCTTATTTTTAAAGATCGTCATCAAATGGCTTTTATGGAAATTAAATTTACTTTAATTTTCTTTTCATGTTATTTTGCTTTTGTTGTCCTTTACTATAGAACAAAAACCTTAAAAATTAAAGTTTCTTACCAAGGTTTTTTAAGTCTTCCTCTGAAACACCATCAGTGAAATCCCTTTCATCTTTTACTCCTAACTCTACAAATTTGTTGTAGTAAGCTTCCAGTCGGTGCTTCTGCAGCAGGTTGTAAATGGCACTCATCTAAAAAGTAAGAAAAAACACAAGACAAAATTGATCCAATATTCTCTGTAAATTAGAAAATTACTAAGTGGTGTTTGCCAAATATTTGGTGAATTGTTTTAAATGTAACAAACTCAACTTACCTTAGTGTGTCAAGATCTGCAGCAGTCTGCTGTCTGTTTCAGCCGAACAAAAAATCCAGAGGGTGTGCCAGTTTTCAGGAAAACTAAACAGAAAGCATAAAACAGAACGAGCCTCTCTTGTGCTATGCAGAGTATTATTAGAAATATTGTTTTTCATGGCTATTCTTAAAAAGCACATTAACCTGAAGTCTCTTAATATTAAAGATACACAATGTGCTTTGTATTTTTGAATATCTCAGCCACAGTATACATTGTCTGTAGAATAAATAACATGCGAGATGAGAGATACCATTTAAGGTCTACTAGATAGTGGGTTAAACTCTGTACCCTCATATAACACTCCTTTAACACCAGTGGCCACACCAGGCAAAATGAGTTAATGATTTAAAGCAGATAAATGCCCCCTTGGAAGCCTGTAGTTATGAAACACCCAATCCTGAGACTTTGTTGTCCAATTGAGTTCCAGAATACAAATGCTTCATCACTCTGAATAATGACTAATAAATCTTAATAATGATTTATTTTCTGTTCCCATTACATCAGCATGCAAACAATATTTTGCTTTGCTTACTTTTGGAGGACAGAGGCACACTTACACCTGGGTACCACACAGACTTAATGACAGCCCATCCCTTTATAATAATGTTCTGTTAAACATGCTGAAAACCTTTCATAGTGATCATCTGGAAACTCATATTGTGCAGCATGTTGGTGATATTCTCATTGCTGATGACACAGAACAGAATTTTGCAACCCTCACACAGCAGCTATGTTGATCTCAAGCCTTTAACCCTCTCAGGCTCAAATTAAGTTGTAGTTGCAGGAAAAATCTGATATTTTGAGAAAATTATCATATGGGGTAGAAAATTATGATATGGGGTAGTACTATACAATTCAGACTTCTTTTTGAGACCTTCACATGCAATTCTGGGATGTTGCAGATTTGCAATAGTGGACCGGAGTGGCAAATTAACACTGAAGACTGAATCTGATATGAACGTTAACTTTATTTGAATGTCACAAACAACAAATTAACAAAAAAAAAATTCGAAAAAAAAAAATTATCTCACAAAATTAGAGACAACTTTTTCTCAAACTTTTTCTCCACCGACATCTCAAAACCTCTTGAGAAGGCCGTTTCTGTTAAACTGTTGCTCAATACATAGGCAAACTAGTAGATAAAGCATGTAGCATCCATTGGTACCTGTTTGGGCACACGTTGCGAATCCACAACATTAAAATCGAGATGCCTCTGGTGAAAAACCCAGAGGAGATAAAATCTACTAATTGGCATGTGTCATATCTATACACATTCATGATTCATCTTATGTAGTATTGATTTCAAAATAATAGAAATTTGTAGTGATACTTATATGAAATTGGTGCTTAGAAAATCTGTTTCAGGGACACCAAGGACTCAGCCATGTTGAAAGTGAGTCAGCAGTGCTAGCTGCTGAGCTGGAGAGAAACTGTTTGTTGCAAATGCACAACTAAGTCCTTCCGTTGTACTTCTGAGTAACAAAAGCTCTTAAAATATGGATGTGGAGTAATTAGCTAAGTGGCATTTAGCTGTTGCAAATCTGCAACATCTGCCTGGAGAGGGTTAAAGTCTTCAGCGACATATGGCAGCTCTGCTGGCTATGCGTTGCTTTTCTGGGTAGAGTAATCACCCTAGTGGGGGTTGGCATGACAGGACACACAAGTAAAATCATCCCAAACCTTCTAAAGTTAAACATATGATGTCATTTTTGGGAATGGCATATTTTAGCAAGAACTACCTTTCAGACTATACTACTGTGGCTGCTCCTTTAAGAAAGCTCATAAGTACTGCAGGGAGGAGACATTTGCATCTCCCACCAACATTGACCGCTGAGTCAGAGGAAGCCAGTGTGAAGCTTAAACAACTCTTAAGTTATGTTTCTGAGTGGGCCTCTCCAGACCTAAGGAGGATGTTTCATTTGGATGTTAAAGAATCGGAAGGATTCCTCACTTCTGTTTTTTGGAAACCAGTAGTAATACAGAAGAAAGTCTTATGCTATTATCTTACGAAATTAGATCCTGCTGCAAAGGGGGACCCACCTGTACAAACGCCCTGTGCTCCATTGCTAAAGCTCTAGAAGGAACTGCTCCTGTTACTTGAGGCCAGGATATCACTGTGCATACCTCTCATGCAGATGCTAGTTATATTTCTGGTGAAAATTTAGTTCTTGGTCACAATAACACTATCTTGTTATGGGAAATACTCCTACAGCCATTATTCTCCCACAGATGTCAACATGGCAACACCAGTGACAACACAAGAGTGTGAAGCTTTGGACGCTGATGAGATGAATATTTTAAAAAATAATTGTAAAGAAAAATTTAAATACAGAAATATGTTTTATGGAGAGCCATTTTATTCAAGATTGCATGGATTTAGCCCATTTTAAAAACTGTTTTTCTTCATCTCTTTGAAAATATATTATATAGTCATTTATTTATTAATTAAATGGCTCTTCATTAAAGGTGAACAAGAGGATTTTTGTGACTTTTTGAAAAGACCCGTCCTCTCCACTTTGAAAAAAGTGCACATGCACAACCCTGTACCCGCTCCTGAGAGGGAATGCCTATTAAATGCATGTGAGAGCGTGTATGAGCCCATTTCTCCTCATGAATGCTCTGTTTAAAAGTTGCTGTTTGCATCGCTCATACAAGCTTACTTTCCAAGAGAAGATTTGAAATTCTTCCACTATGTCTGACTCACCACCGATAAGTGAAAATGGGGGCGACTGACAATTAGGAGGACTACTTATTTCGATGATCCACCCAGAAACAGACACCCTCCACAATACATTTAAGAGCTGGAGTTAAAACATTAGCCCCATTTACACTACCCTCTGAAAACAGATCTGAGCTTGGATCAGTTAACCGTGCTGAGCTCGGTTCCTTACAACCGTTTGCACACCACGCTAGTACGGTTCCTTGCCTCCTAGTGATAATCTACGGTACTACTGCTCTCTAGAGGGAACTAAGTAAATTAACATGCTGGCTCCCGCAACATTCAGGAAGTTTGGTTATTTTGTTGTTTGCGGAAGAAGGCAGCCTTTGTTGAATTCACTTGACAGAGTGAAGTGGATTCAATTCAATTCATTTTATTTCTATAGCGCCAATTCACAACACACGTCATCTCAAAGCACTTTCTAGTTCACCAGATCATCCAGTCAAATTCATTCCGAGTTTTCTATCCCAAGGAAAACCAGTAGATTGCATCGACTCATTGACTCGAATGCAATCCCTCACACTAATCATGCTTGTAGCGACAATCGAGAGGAAAAACTCCACTTATACACTGGATACGCAGGAAACAATGATAGGAGTTGAGGTTCATCACACTGCTAAGCAGAATCATCACTGGAAATCTTGTATTGTTATGAAAATCTGAAATGTCACGATTACGGAGGCTGACTGTGAGGAGATGACATGGTCTGCTCATGCGCTCTTTGTTACCTGAGAACCGGGCCTGAACTGAAGTACGCTGAGCCCTACTGGTGAACTAGCACCATGTCAGCTCGGTCCTGTTGTATCTGGCGCGGTCCGGTTCAGTTCTGCATGCTATTTAAACTCAACAGGTATCTCGATTACCATGCTCAGACTGTTCTTGGCACGGTTTCAAAAGTATAGTGTAAATGGGGCTAGTGTGATGAAAAACCCGTCATACAACATTCTGTTTCCCTGAAGGCTAAGGAATGGCTGCATCACATGTAGGAACATGACTCACTGAGTGTGGTTTTAGTCTTCTTTTAGTATCAAGCTTCCTCAAATGTGTCTGGCGCGGTCCTGTTCAGTTCTGCGTGCCATTTAAACTCAACAGGTATCTCAATTACCGTGCTCAGACATGGTTAATCAAAAATGTCCTCAGTTGAAAATTTTGACTAAACATTAACATGAATAGAATTTAAAATCCTCCTTCTCACATATAAAGCCTTAAATGACCAACCTCCACCTTATATCATAGATCTGATTGTTCCTTATGTTCCTAACAGAGCACTTCGCTCTCAATCTGCAGGTTTACTAGTGGTTCCTAGAATTTCTAAAAGTAGAATGGGAGGCAGATCTTTTAGTTATCAGGCTCCTCTCCTGTGGAACCAACTACCAGTTTTAGTCCGTGAGGCAGACACCCTGTCTACTTTTAAGGCTAGGCTTAAAACTTTCCTTTTTGATAAAGCTCATAGTTAGAGTGGCTCAGGTTATGCTGAGCTATCTCTATAGTTATGCTGCTACAGGTTTAGACTTCTGGAGGACATAGGTACCCCCATTTCATCATTCTGCTTAATTCTATCTCTATTCACCCACTCTGCAGAATCTGTTAGTTCAATCCCTAATGTTATGCTCTCTCTGCTTTTTCTCATAGTAGCTTTGCCTCGACTGTTCCTGTTTAGCTGTGACTCCATCCTGGAGAGAAATATCAGCTGAGCTGCTGCAATCGACACCTTTGTTTATAGATGCTGGAGATCAGCATGTTTTTCAGTGTAGTCCTGTTTCTCTGACTGTGACTGGCTGGATGTGCTCTCTTCGTCCTCTGACATGGGAGCTGGCTCGGAGCTCGTCTGCCTGGCTGTGTGTTTCCTGGACGGGGCCGCCTTTTACAGCTGCTTTTTGTATCTCTGCTTCTGTCTCCTTGAACCCCAGTCAGCCTCAGCAGATGGCCGCTCACACTGAGCCTGGTTCTGCTGGAGGTTTCTTCCTGTTAAAAGGGAGTTTTTCCTCTCCACTGTCGCTACAAGCATGCTTAGTGTGAGAGATTGTATTTGAGTCAATGAGTCAATGCAATCAACTGGTTTTCCTTAGATAGAAAACTTAGAATCAATTTGACTGGATGATCTGGTTGAACTATAAAGTGCCTTGACATGACATGTGTTGTGAATTGGCGCTATAGAAATAAACTGAATTGAATTGAATTAACATTTCATGTCACATTTTACCTTCAGTGATGTATCTTTCTGGCATGTGAGCATTTAATAATTAATCAAGTACATGTTTTAACAGGTTAAAACTAAAA